CCAGTCAAAAGTTTCATCCCACCATGTCTTCACCTAGTTCAGGCGCGGCAATTATTTTGGGCGCAGGGCCGTTTACCCAGTTTTGGCAAGTTGTCGAGGGCTGCATGGCTAGCCCTGCCCCTTGACAGGTGTCCTGCCCCCTGGTCACCATCTTGGGACCAATGTCCCAATGTCTTGGGACCAATGTCCCAGGGCCAGCACCGGTAGGGCCCAGAGTGGGGCATAGGCTGGCAGGGGTCTGCGGAGCTGGGCTGGGCTGCACCAGCAGAGAGAGTGGGGAGCTGGCCCATTTCCATAGAGCCCCTGCCAGCCGGGACCCTATACTCCCGTCACCCTGCTCTGGGCCCTGCTGGCGCTGGCCCCGGAACACGGGTGTGGATCCTGTGCACCCGCTCCCTCCCAGTGCCCCCCCAGCTCCGCAGTACAGGCCAGGGCAGTGTGCAGCCCCGACCCCCTGCTCTGTGGCAGGGAACGAGCTGGTGCTGAGAGCAGGAAAAAGCAGCCCTTCCCCCACCCTGTGGCCAGCACTCCCTGCTGCAACCGCTCGCAGCCCACACGGGGCTGTCCTGAGCAGGCACAGGCATCCCCACATGGGCTGTGAGTGGCTGCAGTGCGAGGCTCCGGCCACAGGACGGGTGAGGGGCCACTTTTCCCACGCTCAGCACCAGCTTGTAACCCGCCCCCGCAGCCAGCCTGGGCCCTGCACCAGCTCTGGGCATGCCTGTCAGGGCTGCACCACAGTGAGAGCAGCTGCAGCCCCCGCTCTTGCTGCACCAGGAAGTGTTTGCCACCACTGCCTCTGGGCTGTCCAGCATGTGAGCTCTGGCCAGGCAGCAGCAAACACTGCCCGGCACAGCAAGTTGGGGGGCTGCAGCTGCTGCCAACATACGCAGCCCCAACAGGTAAGCCCGGAGCTGGTGCGGGGCCCAGGCTGGCAGCAGGGCGGGTTACAAGCTGGTGCCGAGCATGGGAAAAACAGTCCCTTGCCCGTCTGTAGCTGGCGACCCGTGCTGCAGCCGCTGACAGCTCATGTGGGGCTGCCTGTGCCTGCTCAGGACAGTCCTGCACAGGCTGTGAGCAGCTGCAGCAGGGAGCGCGGGCCACAGGGTGGAAGAGGAGCTCCTTTTCCCCAGGCTCCTTTCCTGCTCGCAGTCCTCCCCTGCCCTTCCCCCCCACACCTTTATCTGACATTCTGGCCACATGGTCCTTTCTGGGACTTCCACCCTGGGGGGTGGGGCTGCTATTGGATGGGAGACTGCCAAGCTTCCTCTGGGTCCCACTGCCCCTGTTTCCTGTCATTTTTGACAGAAACTAAAGACAGATAACATTAATTTTCTAAATTTTTTAGGAGCCCCACGGGCAGGATAGAATGGCCTTGTGGGCTGGATGCGGCCTGCACACTGTATTTTGCCCACCCCTAATCTAACCTAAACTTCCCTTGCTGCAACTTGAAACCATTACTCCTTGTTGTGTCTTCTGCCACCACTGAGAATAGTAGACTATTCAGGAGTGGGCAATTATTTTGGCTGGAGGGCCGCTTAATGAGTTTTGGTGAGGCATTAAGGGCCACAAAGGTAGTTCCACCCCTTGACAGGTGCCACGCCCCTTGGTCACCATCTTGGGACTGGAAGCCCCACCACCTAGCCCCTGACATTTGCCAGTGAAAGTCTCTCCCCTTGCCCAGAAAGTACTCCTTTGGGAGCGGGGTTTGTTTGTATATTGTTGGGGGGGTGGTATATATGCAGCATGTGTGTGGTTGCGGGGTGTGTGAGTGTGCATGGGGTGTGGGTACAGTGTAGGTGGGATATGTGAGGAGAGTGTGTGTGTCTGTGTGTGTCTGTGGTGTGGGAGGGGTGTGTGTTTGTGGGGTGTGGGTGTATATGTGGGTGTGGGGTGTGTGGGGTGGGTGTGGTTGAGGTGCAGGGTGTGTGGGATAGTGTTGGGTGTGTGTGTAGGTATGATGGGGTCGGGGTATGTCTAGAAGGGGTGTGGGGGTGTGGGTGAATGTGTGGATATGTGGGACAGTGTTGAGTGTGTGTAGGTATGAGGCGGTAGGATGTGAGGGGGTATGGGTGCATGTGAAGATGTGTGTGGGTGTGCAGTGTGTACGGGGGGGTGTAGG